CAGGTGGGAAATGGAGACCCAGAGTGAGGAAATTAGGGACCAGGTCCCTGAGCCTTTTGGTGACATTCCTCACACAGGCCTCGGTTTTCCATTTTGAGAGAGGACAGAGGCAGGACCCACATCACCTGGGCTGCAGGGAGGACCCAGCCGCAATGGGTAGGGGAGAGTTCTGTGCAAGCGCCCCGAGGGAAGGAGGAAGGGAAGGAGGGATGATAATAGGGGGCAGGAGTCCACGGGGCAGGGCGGGGCAGGGAAATCACACTGAATCACCTCCACTACGGGCCCTGGAAACCCTGAAGTGGGTCCAGATGGGGAGGATGTGTGCCAGGCCATGCTGGCTCAGGCCTGGGAGGGCTCGTGCGTCAGAAAACTGAAGGAACACTTCATTTCTCTGCAGGCGTCGCTGACGCCCCGGCTGGCATCTCACCAGCCATCCTGCCCACTCTTTCTTTCTGAAATAATTCTTTCCAGGCTCTGATCTCCCCCCCATGGCCACCCCCACCACCTCCCACACTTGGGTCACACAGGGAGCTGGGCAAAAGCAAGCAGGGGCCTTCAGTTCATCCGAGGCAGCAAGGAGGAGGGCCCCAGGAGGGCCCAGCGGCCTTGGATGTGCAGGTGGGCCCTCACACCAGAGTCATCCCAAATTCAGTTTCCCCCGAGTCTGAAAGCCCAGGACTTGCTTCCTTCCCTCTCATAGCCCATGGCTGGGAGCCAGGAGACAAGAGTGGCTGGTTCTATAAATGATGTCAACTGGCCAAACCTCAGCAAATCCATTCTCCTTGGTGAACTTCAGCTTCTTCATCTGTCAAAATAAAACAAAAATATGAGCCCTCTCTACTTCATAAAGCTGTTGTGAGGTTGCAGTGATCTTGGATGGGGCAATGTTTTGGAAATTTTAGAGTAATCTAGAAAAGCATGCGAAGATGTTAATGATCATTAAAATGCTCCTCATCAGCTCAAGAATACAATAGCTGTTATTTGTTAAGCCCTTATGTGCCAAGCCCACTGTGCTAAGAGCTTTACACATGTCATTTCATTTAATCTTATAATGATCCCCATTAAGAACATACTGTTCTTATCTCCTACATGCAGATGAGAAGACTGAGGATCAGAGAATGGGAGCGATTTGTCCAAGGCTCATGGCTAGCAGGCTGCTAAGCCATGATTCAGTCACAGCTTTTTTGGAATAAGGGCCTTTGGCCTTAGCCACCACTTTATTCTGAATTTATAGGGGAACACGTAGTCTGCCGACACCTGGAACGGGAGAGACGGTGGATGGAGGAAGGAAAAGAAGGGGCTACATGGGGCTAGGTCATTCCATAGTATCTTATTCTCATTGGTCTTGCTGCCACCTCTAATGGCAAGGGTTCCCCCCTTGTACAGATGACATAACTGAGGCTCAGAGACTGAAGTCCCTCGTCCAAGGTCACACAGTCAGAGTTGGAACTGAGACTATGATCACGTTCTTCTTGCCTCACAGGCTGGTTCATTCCTCTCTTAACTGTCCAGCCAGATGGTTATCCAGTTCTGTCCTGAACATCTCTAGGGACAGAGGAGACAGAAGTGACCTCAGGAGGATGGACTGGGCAGGGAAGGCTTCTCAGGGGTGGCAGCAGGAAGGAAGCTGGGTCTTGCGGGAGAGGAGAAATCGGGTGCTCTTGGGTCCGAGCCCACACTGGCCTTTCTGCTCCCTTGGGGAAGGGAGTGGCCCGAGTACCTTCTCTCTGCCTGGAGATCCGGAGGGAAGAGGCCTGTGGGGCTGCCAGGTTATTAGTGGATTAGGGCTTCCTTTCAAAGCTTCCTCCCATTACCGCCGGAGGATTATAAGCATCTTCAGACAATTACACCCGTCCTCTCACAATTATAACTGCCTCCCTCCAGTGCTCCCTGGCAGCTTTAAGTACGGGCCGTGACATCTTCTGCCTTGGACACCTACCACTTGGGGTGGGTGGGTACCAGGGACATTTCTCTAGGCCCTGAGTACCAGCTAAGCAGGGCAGAATGGGATCCTTGGCAGGCTGGATGGTCAGGAGGTACAGAGAGATGAGGTAGGCAGCAGCTCAAGTTCTCTGCCATCAGCTGCTGCCAACTTGGGAGAATATATGTGAGGGGGAGTGTCAGGTAGGGCTCATAATCAGGCCTCAGCCAGCACTACTTAGTCCACAGCTCACCAACAGAGCCCCACGCTACAGCTGTCTGCTCTGCAAAGCCTTAGCAGGTCATGCTGGAAAGGCTCATTGAGATTACTGTGTAGATAATCTTGTGGAGACCCTGAAGGCCAGAGATGGCAAGTAACTTGCCCAAGGTCACACAGTAAATCGGTGGCAAAGCCAGAGCTAGAACCCAGGGCCTCTGCCTCCCAGCTCAGCTGCCAGGCTCTGTGCTGAATGCTTTGTATGGGTAACTTCATTTCATTCTCTGAATAACCCTAAGAAGTTCATCCTTTTCTTATCTCTGTCTCACAGATGAGGAAACTAAGACAAACCGAGTTTAAGTGGCTTGTCAAAGTCTCAGGCCTGTGGGTGGAGGAGCTGAGATTTGAACCCTGGGAGGTCTGGCCCATGCTTTCCACCACCCTCTGTGCTGCCTTGTCTCCATGGAGACGAGGCAGCAGGCTGTGTTCTTCCACCCACCTGGGGCCAGGAAAAGGTTGTTCAGGCTCTGGGGGATGGTGGGGGATTCTGCCAAGCCGTTTCCCTCCCCCTTGGAGATACTCAGGGAGACCTGGCTCCTCCTTCACTCGTGGCTGTGGAAAAGCTACCTTCCGTCCTCTCCAGACCACTTGTCACAGGGGGCTTGGGGCATTGGGAAGTCACTGAGGGAGCCTCTGGGGTGGGGATGAGGGTGTGGAGCCGGCTGTCAGATGAGCCCTGTCCCAGCCACGTCTGTCTCGTGGAGGCCGAGGAATCCGTGCCCATGATAAGAGCTGACAGTGGTCCCTGGGCCAAGGACACGGCCCCTGATCCTCAGTCCTGTGGGAGAAAAGCCAGTCGGAGAGGCAGGGCGCCACCCACTTCTCCTCCCACGCCCGCACACTACACTGACCATAATAGGAGGGTGCTAGCGCAGGAGCAGGGCTCACAGGTTCCTGTGTGCCTCACCTGTGCCCTCACACATATGCACTCACACCCCGATAGACATGCCTGTAAACACACATGGTGTATACACACCGTGTTGTTATGCAAACACGTGTACACTCACATCTGCCCCCATGTGCACGCATGTGCATGCCCTCAGACACCCACACATCCATGCATGGGGTATACATCCACACACACCCTCCCACAGAGCGTCCTGACCCATGCCTGCCTAACTTTCACATGTATCAGATTTGCATACATAGCTACGGTCCCACCTGAAACATACGAGCACACAGACTCCGTCCCTTCAGTACAGGTTAAAGCATGCTCTTTTGTCCACTTTCCCTTGCTCACACACCTACACTTTGAAATCTCTCTTACATATGCACACATTTTCTTTTACAGGCATATCCCCTCTTGCACGCCCACTGTGACACACCTACGTTCAGACCGAACCACTTTCTGTCCTCCTTCCTTTTCCCATCTCTTTCTCTTTCAAACCCACCCACACAGTAATCCTAGCCTTTCTCTCTTCTCTCTCTTTCTCACCCACACAGTTTGTTTCCTGGTTTCCCACAGGCTGGCCTATAGCCATTTTCTTAGCACTTCCACTCCCCGGGCAGGCAATACCCACCCTGACGCCCACCCCCAGGGCCCCCTCTGTCCTCCCACCCCCACCCAGCCCCCGCAGGAGAGAACCTGCAGTGTCAGAGGGTTCTCTGTGATCCACGAGGCAGAGTAACCAGGGAGGGTTCGTCCCCTCTGTCACCCGATGGCTTGCACTCAGCCTGCCCACCAGGGATAGGGCGGGTCCTCAAAGCCCCCCACCTGCAGCTCTAGGCTCGGGTTCACATCAGCGCATTTCTGACTTCCTTTAGCAGAAATCTAAACACAGAAAGAACCTTGGCATACAAGACAGATAAAAGTAGAACCACCCTGGTGGAAAGGGTGGGGTACTTGAAACCCAGGGAAACTTTGGTGAAAACCCGGGCCGGCATTTTTTCCCAAGTGCAGTTTTGTTTCAAAATGGTTGGGAATGTGAAGGGTGCTTGTTGTCAGTCCTGTTTCAAGCCCACCAAGTCTCCCCTACACTGGGAGGGGGCACCGGGAAGTGCGAGTCTCGACTTTGAACAGCATCCCAGGTGATTCTGATGCTCACTGCTGCTGCCCCCGGGCCCTGCTGAGCTCGGTCTGAATGGGGTTTGGTTCAATGAAAAGAAGGGGAACTGCAGGCCAAGAGACACCCAGCATCACTGTCCTTGTTGCTGGCCCACCAGTTGAGTCAGGGCATGGCCCCAGGCGGCAGGGAGATGAAAACCTAATTTTGTCCCCATCTGCCTAAGTGCTACCACGGTTCTTCTAGTTGCTGGGGCCGGAGAGGGTACCGCACCTGGGGCTGGGGAAGTGGGAGGTGGTGCCAGTTCTACGGAAAGAATCACAAAGACAGATTGCAAAGGGCGGGGTGCGGAGGATAGAGAAAAGAGATGAGATAGATGGGGAGACAGGAAGAAACTGAGTGGAACAGAAAGCAGAAGGGCTTAGGGAACGACCTAGAGATATAAAAATGTGGAGGAAACAGAGAGGCAGACAACCAGGCAGCAGAGAGTGAGGCAGTGGGAGAGGAAAGAGTGAGAGAGAGGGGACCCTCCAGGAGACCGGGGGCCGAACTGGTGGGGGCGGGGCGGGACGGGGAGTCGCACCTCGGAGGGCTGGGCGGGGCGGTGGGAGGGGCGGCGCTAGGGCCCCGAGGAGTGGCCAGCAGGAGCGCGGCTTGTCGCCCGCCCAGCCCTCTCGGCTCCGGCTCCCGGTCCCCGAGCAGCCCGCTAGGCGGTGGAGGTGGCTGCAGCGACGCGGGGCGGGGTGCCGGGTGCGGGCGGGAGTGGCGGGGGTCTCGGGGCGGGGCGCCCTGACGGACGAGGCCAGGTGCGCAGAGGTGGCGGCGCCAGCGAGCTCGGGGACCGCGCGCAGAGGCTGGAGGTGAGTGAGGGTCGCCGGCCGGCGGGGGTGCCGGCACCGATCGCACCTCGCTCCTTCCCACCTGTGCTGTTCCGGCACCGCCTGGATGGAGGTGGCACCTCTTGGCTCTGGTCCGCACATGAAGATTGACCTTGGCCAAGTTGTCGCTCCTCTCTGGGCCTCAGTTTCCTCATCTGTATGGTAGGGTGGGGGGCGGACCGGAGAAATCTCGAGGCTCCGGAGCAGCTCAGGAGAAGGAGGTCGCCCGGGAAGCTACTCCCCGGGGCTGCGTGGGCGCTCCAGAGACCGGGGCGGGACCGGGGCTCCGATCCGGGACCGGGGCTGCCCCGGGCTCAGGGGTGGGCAGCAGCCGCAGGTCTGCGCCCCCCAGCCCGCTCTGGGGAAGATCGGGCCACCAGGGCTCAGGAAAACGGCGGGTTGGACTCTGCCCAGGGTTGACCAACATGGGCGCCTGTGGGGCAGCGGGACGGCATGTGCTGAGCCCGCGGCCCCCCTTCCCGCGGGCGGGGCGACCGGCGCGGGGTTCAGGCTGTGCAGGCGAGACACGCAGGACGCGGAACCGTCCGACCGCGGGGCCCGCGGGGCCCGCCGGGAAAGTCGAGGCCTTTCCTGAGCTTCTAGGGCAGAGGGGTAACTGTCCTAAGGGCTTCACACCTAATTCTCACATCGCTACCCTTTCCCATTTACCAGGTGAACACGGAGGTGACGTGAGCGGAGGGTGGGGCTCCTTTCTAACCACCACACTGTGGAATCGGGGGACCCCATTCAGAGCCCTGACAAGACTCCCCCCTGCCCCAACACACACACCATGTTCCATGTCTGGGTTGTCTGCAAAGGAGAGAGCAAGCAGGGAAGCAGCACCTGTCCCACTCCCGACCCTATCCTGAGTGGCAGGTGGCACTGGAACAAACTTGCTGTGTGATCTTGGGGCAAGACCCCTGCCCTCTCTGGCTCCCAGCGGGAGGGTGGAAAAGGGGCCCCCAAAGAGGACGCATGCGTTGGAGACAGCAGTGCTTGTGGTAGCTGTAGGGGCAGTCAGAGCGTGTCCCACCCCATGATGCTGCAAGGTGTACAATGAGGCAGGATGCTGATGAGAGGGACCAGGATATGCTGGAGAAAGGGACTGGAATCTGCCGAGGCCAGCCCGCCTGTCACCAACCCCAGCCCTGGCCCCCATCTTGTGCTAGAGCAGAGCCACCAACAAACCGATGACCTCCTCTTCCCACCACCTCCCATAAACCTCAGGCAGTGGAGCAGGACCCCTCAGGGAGCTGAAAATGCCCTGCCACTGGCAGGCTGTCCCCTGCCCCTGTCTTCGTATGAGACCTTGGGTTGGCTCCTCCTCTGGTTCTCAGTTTCCCCATGGTACAATGAGGAGGATGGGCTAGGGTCACTCTAGTTGGGTACTCAGAGAACTCCCCAAAAGCAAAGTGTTTGCAGCTCGGCCACCCAGGCTCCCTCACCACTTTTCAGGCTGCCCCCACTTTGCAGGCCACGGGCCAGCTCTCCCCCCACCCCGTCCCCCTATCCCAGACTAGTATCTAAATTAGGCTGTGCTTGGAATCAGCATTTACATGGTTAATAGAGGCCTTTGAATCCTACTCCCACCCCCACCCCTTGTTAGCTATTGCCCTTCCCCGAAGGAAGGAAGGAAGGAAGGAAGGAAGGAAGGAAGGAAGGAAGGAAGGAAGGAAGGAAGGGAGAAAGAAAGAAAGAGAAGGGAAGGAAGGGAGGGAGGGAGGGAGGGAAAGAAAAGAAAAACAAAACCCTGTCTCAGTCAGGGGCCTGGTTCCCAACTGATCCCTAGCTTCTTCAGTCAGCATTTTACCTAATCTCTCTGTTTTGGAGTTGGGGAAACTGAGGCTGGAGCGGAGGAAGAGATTTGCACAGGGTGATTCTGTGCGTAGAAGGCAGCAGAGCTGTCTTTCCGTGGGACAGCCATTCCTTGATAAGTGGGAGGGGGCACATATAGCAGAGGAGCCTTCTCTCCACCTCCTTCCTCTTCACCCGCACCCCCATTGCTCCACGGATGGCATGCATTCCCCTGAGCCCTCCTCACCGCCCCGGGGGAGTCGGCTGGGCCGGGTCAGCACGCCCCCTCCACCTGCCAGCGCTATCATCCCACACGGTGGAACACACCTCCAGGCCTAGGGGCCTGGCCTGGGAGGCACCTTTCCCTTCAGAGCAGCTCCCAGGCTTCCAGACATGAGCTCATCGGAGCTGCTGATGCCAGGAAGGGAGGGACTGAGGGGGAAGCAGGCAGGGCTGTCCAGATTGGGGCACTGTGGGCCCCCGGGGAAGTGGAGGGGTGCAGTTGTGGAGGGCTTGCAGGCTCGGGCCCCCCTCATAGTGTGGCAGCAGGGACAAGACAAGCCAGCAGAGGGTCAACTGGGATGGAACGGGGACAGGCTGCAATGCGAAGAGCTAGGTGCTTGGCCAATCTCTGCCTCATGCCTGCTGTATGACCTTGGGTGAATCCCTTGCTCTCTGTGGACCTCAGTGTCCCTGGCTAGCGATGGGTGGAGTGGGTCTTTAGGCACTGGGGTACAGTCGGGTCCTTGCCCTCAAGGAGTTGCATTTTAATTGAGATAGTCAAGAAAAAGGGAAGCAAAGAAATCAGCAAGGTGATTTCAGAAAGATAAAAGTGGCATGAAAGCCAGCAAGCCATGGGGCCAAGAGGAAGCTACTCTGTGCTGGTGGCTGGGGAAGGACTCTCTCTGGAGGTGACCCTGGAGCAGAGAGGCCTGAATGCTATTTGAAGGCATGACCGTGGCTGATTCATGGAGGAGGCATGACCAGAACTTTGGTCTAAGATGATGGGAGGGAGTCGGTTGGGAGGAAGGTGTTTCAGAGGATGGTAAAAAGTGTGAACTAGGAACTGGGGGTATGGAATGGGGACATCGGCTGTGGTTGTGACAAGGCCTTCATCCCTTAGTGGCTCAGGCTGCAGACACAAAGGAGCCAGGGGCCCACGATCGGGTTGGATGGGTGGCTGGGCTCTGCTGAGTTAGTCCAGTGTGTATGTGAGCTCAGAGTTCTTTTTGAACTGTCCCTGGACACTGGGGCTTAGTTGCCACCCAGGGTGGCCAGAGAGGAGTCAATATGGGGACAGCCTCCTGGCCCTGTAATTCCAGAGGCTTACAAAAGCCCTCTCTCTCCAGAATGAAATCTTTACCAACTGGCCACTGCCTGAAATTCCACCATCCTAGCTTCATCTTTTCCATTTGATGAAGCCGTATAGTATCATACTGTGTGACCCTACACTACCCTGCCCCGCCTCCCAGGGCTGCGACAGACATACCAAATTCACTCTGTTCCCGAGCTCCCTGCTTCCTGCGAGGCTGATACACAGATTCTGCGGCTGGAACCCAGGGTTCTCCTCCTGGCTATCTCGGCAATCTTAAGCATGTTATATAACCTCTCTAGGCTTCTGTTTTCTCATTATAAGATAGAAACAATAGACTTTATCTTGTACTGTTCTGAAAATTAAGTGAGATAATAAATGCTAAAGAAAACCCTATTACTCATTAAATAGTATTATCATGTTTTGATCTGTGTTAAAATAGCAAGCCCTTGAGGAGATAGACACCTATTCACTCAAGGCTCATGTCTCCGTATAAATTACTTTCTGATGTTTGGCCAGGAACAGGTTTTAAGGGCGGGGGGATGGGCACAGCGTGGTGGAAAAGGGCCTGGCCTGGGCTTCAGGAATAGACACTCGAACCTTTCAAGTCTTAGCTAACTGGCTGGTGGTCTTGGTCACATTACTTGCTTCCTCTGGGACTCAGGCCTCTGTTCTGAGCTGCTATGAAATGGGCTGAGAAGGATATGTGGGGGTCATGGGGGTGAAAGAGATCAGCGGACTCCAAAAACATGGGGCCAGCAGGAAGGCTATCACCATAGTGGGTCAGAAAGGGAGGGGGTGGGTGAGCCCCACCAACAGAAGAGTGGGCTGACCTGAGACTGGCATTTATCTTCTGGGATAACGTCTCTTGGAGACTAAGAGTGTTCAAAAGATAAGAGCTGGTGCTTCAGAAAAATAGTTAACGTTTATGGTTATTTACTATGTGCCGGGGGGGTTCAAATTTCTTTACATGTCAACAGCTACATGAAGTATGTACTGTTATTATCAGCATTTTACAGATGGGAAACTGAGGCACAGAGAGGTCATGTGAGCTTCCCAAAGTCACACAGCTGGTAAGTGGCCGGATTCAACCTAGGCCGTCTGGCCCCGAAGTCCATATGCTACTACTGCACAACATAGTCTCTCATGCTTTAGATAGATTGTCAGAGGCTCAGAGGGGCCAAGCCACCTGCTTAAGGACACATAGCGCTCCTCTTTGGTCCTCGTCATCTCTGTGCCTCAGGTCCTAGAAGGAGAAGCTTCACAGGGTCTGGGGGTCTGGGGTCTGGGATTCTGAGGTCGGCCCTTGAGCCAACTCAGCCTCTTTTCTTCCCCCGCCCTCCCCCCCAGGAGTAGGTCTGGGAGGCTCGAGGGTGCCCTGGGAGTGCTGTGGGCACGGGAGATTCTGCCAGGGCCTGACGAGTGGGCGTTATTAGTGTTGTGGGGCTTGAGTGGATCCCAAGAGCCTGAGTTGTTATGAACTCCCATGGAGTCTGGCGTGTCTCCCATCACTGTACACATGGGGGAAACTGAGGTCAGAGAGTCCAGGGACAGGCCCACGGTCATAAGCAGGGGGCACCCTTTTTCCCGGGGTCTCCTGCCCCGCCCCGAAGCTGCTTAGTACTTGTGGGCACCATGGGGAGTGGGGCTTGGGGACCGTACCACCCATCTGCAAGGTGGCCCTGGTCTCAGCCAAGACGCAATTCCTGCTGTGGGGCCCTTGAGAGGGCACTTGGAGTTGGGGGATGGAAAGGGTGCTGATTAAAAAATAGAATGTCACGCGCATGGGGAGCATGCGTGCTACCACCCAGCCGGTGCCAGTTGGCTCCCCCGTGCCCAGCTGCCAGGTCCCACTCAGGGCTCCCGCCGGGGGCCC